GGTCTTTTATCTCACTCACAAAATGGTATGAATCCTTTGTGTGTGCTCTGGTATGTCCTCTTAGTGGTGATAGTATTTTTGCTAAGTATTGTGCCAGCTTATAAGTTGGTGAATCGATCTGGCTCACTATGGGACGTAGTGGAGCGTTTGGTTTGTGTATCTTCGGTAACCCATACAACCTCGGTGGTAGTAAGGGTTACCGAAGATACACAAACCGAAGATTACTGCTCCTGTAAATCCAAGGTTCTACAAGCGGTACGTAGACGACACTTTCACAATTTTACCAATCTGACAAAGTAACTGCATTTTTAGACCACCTTAACTCCATAAACTCTAAAATACAATTCACAATGGAGTTAGAGGCAAATAATTCTTTAGCTTTCCTAGATGTTTTAGTCATCCGAAATCCTGATAACACTATTGGTCACACTGTGTATAGGAAAAAGACCCATACCAACCGATATTTAAATGGTGAATCTCATCATCATACTTCACAGTTAGCTACCGTGGGTAAATCTTTGTTTCAGAGAACACGAGGGATCTGTGACAGAAAACATCTGGCCGCGGAGCTTCAGCACGTCAAGCAAGTATTGCAAGACAACATGCTTCGGGTCCCGCGCCTACGTCACAGTGAACGAGTGAAGCCGGCCACAGTCGAGCGCGCGCCTGCTCTACTACCATATGTTAGAGGAGTCACGGACAAGATTGGCTACATCTTGAAGCGAGCGTCCATTAAGACATACTACAAGCCGCTGAAGAAGATTAGTCAATTTTTACCATCCATCAAATGTAATATTCCTCTACAAGATGCAGGTGTGTACAAGCTAGATTGTGAATGTGGTCTCTCTTACATAGGCCAAACAAAGAGATCTATAAAAACCCGCGTGAAGGAACATATAGCTGATGTGAAGCACCGACGCTCCGGGAAGTCTGCAGTCTGCGAACATGTTCAAGATCGTCCCCACCATTACATTAGATTTGATAAACCACAAATTCTCGCAAAAGAACACCGATTCCTACAAAGGATGATACGCGAGGCTATTGAAATTAAAAAACATCCAAATTTCAATAGAGAAGATGGTTGGGTGCTACCATCTGCTTGGGATCCTATAATTAACAAAATTAAACCCAAACCCAAGCATACCACTGCAAGACTTTATGATACTATAAGCTCGTTTTGCGTAAATCGGACAAAAAATTAATATTAAAAAAACTGAAGGTAGCCGGACTAACCATGACATTGGGACGTCAAACATCTCAGTCCCCCCCCGTGACCATGGGCGCTGTAAAGCACCCGAAACGTCGGGATAATAATAAAAATAAATTAAAGTAATTAAACGCGATAAAATCCGTAAATAATAGTTTTATTCAATAATTTTATACCACTAAAAATATAAATTTTAACAGAGCGCTATGTTCGGTAACGTTGTTTGTGTATTTCAATAAAATAATTGGGCTCTGGTCGGATGCTAAGCTACATAGCAGTGCCCTGTGGCTTAAATTATAGCTACATAGCAATATATAACGTTCCTGATACTGCTATTGAGCTTGGTGCCCGTTCAGATCTCAATAATTTTTCTCCTTGTTCTCCAAAACAATGGAATCCATTGTAAGCTGCCAGCTCATGAGGTACCTTGACAATCACTAGATGATTAGTGATCGTCAATACTGTTTCCGTCGTGGTCGATCAGCTGTTGATCTTCTGGTCTACCTAACTCATAGATGGGCGGCGGCAGTAGAGTCCAAGGGGGAAGCATTGGCCGTTAGTTTGGACATTGCGAAGGCCTTCGATCGGGTTTGGCACAAAGCATTTCTTTCGAAGCTCCCTTCTTACGGGCTTCCCAAGATATTTTGCAATTGGATCACCAGCTTTTTTGTAGATCGGAGCATCAAGGTCTTTGTAGACGGTGCAAACTCCAACTACAAGCCTACTAATGCTGGTGCTCCACAAGTCTGCGTGCTATCACCAACAAGGTTTCTTCTGCATATCAATGATATGTTGCAAACCGGCAACATTCATTGTTATGCAGATAGGGATGCTCTGTACACCGGTATACCGGCCAATATTTCTCGGAAAAACGTCTCCGAGTACCGGGACAAACTTGTGTCTGAAGTCGAGTCTGAGTCGAGAGTATTAATGCCAATCAAGTATATTTTATACAGATATAAAACACAAGCATACCTGTCAAGTTTCACAGTTGTTTTGCGTTATTGTCGTAAGATGTGCTTTAACGTAAAGTACTCGTAGTAATGGTTGCAAGCGCTGATATTGGTGCTGAAACCGCTATTTTGTTTGCTAAACAGTCGGCTAAGGTTGTACTTGTTGGAAAAAATGAAGGCGCTTTAATCTGTGTGGCCAAAAATGCGGAGAACCTAAAGGCATTGTACCACTTATTATCAAAGCCGCATTAAATAACAATAATGATGTAAAAATACTGTTACAAAGACTAGTGAAAAGTTTGGTCGTATTGGCGTTCTCGTGAATTATGCCGGTCTTGGGTTTAAGGGCGATATTCGTGATGGTGTTGGTTTGTATGATCGTGTCATGGCAACTAATGTTCGTGCAGTATATTTCGCTCATTTGGAGCGACAGTGACATAACTGCAAATTTGTAAAATTTACACTACGCCAGTTTTAAGATATTTTCGTAACACCATTGAAGAATCCTTACTTTTCTTACACTTACCGACTCTTTCTCTATTTTATTATTGTAGTTTGAACTCTGGGATTGAAAACAGTCATATTTATTTATTATATTCTTATCCAAAATAATGAGAAATAAATAAAAAAAAAACATTTTAACACTTACAGTTGCGTCGCTGTTACCCTAGGCAAAGAAAGCTCGGGTTGTTATGACCTTTGTTGTCTCTTATAAAATAAAACCAATATTGTTCAATCAACACATTTTGTATTATTTCAATAAAAATTAACAACGGCAGTCAGTGGTGACATAGTTATGTCTCATAGTATGAATCATTTGTAGATGACCTTCATCTTAATTACACTTTAATAGGAACTATTCAATACGAAATTAAATAATATAGTAGGTATATAAAATTAGTTTTTAACCCTCTTAATAACTGCTATCTAATATGGCATAGAAAAATCAGCTGTTTATAACAATATTCTTAAAATCTAAAACCCTGCACATTTAAAAAGTTATTCTTAAATATCAGTCTTAAAAGATCAGTAGAATGTTAGAACTATTTTTAAACATTTCAGTCTTACGTTTGTTTCATTAGTCATGCTACTTACATAAAAAATTAAAACTTAATAAAAAAAATAAAAAATTGTAACTACTCAGGTAACTTAAAACAAACTCTCGTAAAATCCAGAATAGCATCTGGGAACAATGTTTTTTCTAACAAAGTACGCAAATCCTGCTTTTTTTTGATCAGAAATCGTAAGTTATGAATTGTAAGCTGTTCTCGAAACGTATTTCAGTAATATTTAAATTATTACCGGATCGAGTTTTTCGAGAATTAGTAGATGTTTTTGATTTGACAGTTATCTATTCACCCTCGTAAGAATATTTTAAATCGTAAGTCTCATTATTTTTAACAAATCGTATAGATTTTATTTCAGATAATTTTATCTGGTTACCTTGCAGATTTTTGTTAACATTTAGTGTAATATCTTCAAATAGCTTTTTTTAAATCATAAAAATCGTCATAGTTAAGCTCGTTTACTACAATAGCATTTCCAGTTTTCATGGTGTTGCGTATAAGTTGCACGTACTGGTATGGAATATAGATAGGACCTGACTCTTTTGCTCTTTTAATGGACTTTTCGATGAGCGAATGAGCATTGTCGCCCTCATTTTGAGTGCCACGTATCAAAAATTTATGTGTGATTGAATTTATTGGAAGAGTTTCAACCGCATAGTAATATATGCCAAGCAGGAATCTGAAAAAGTAAAATATAACTTTTACGCACAAATAAAACCTTTAAATCCTTAAAATTTGTCTTATAGATATTTTAATCGGAAGAAGTTAAATATAAAGTCTTCCTGTTCTGATTATTAAGTGAAAGTGTTTTAAAACGTGTTTTTATCATATATTTTAAATCCAGCATAAAATGTCAGTGAAAACATGTTAACCTCACTAAATTAAACTATTTTTCTTTACCAGTGTATAAATCAAATTTAGACTGATTGTATTGTGTTTAACCTAATCGTTACATAAGAAAAAGTTATTGAAAAAAGTGAAAACAAAAATCTTATTTGCAAGAAGTCGAATAACGTTTCGAATGTCCAAAACTTTCCATGACTGATAACACTGCACAAACCAACCAATTAACTGAGCGTAATTCATAATTTCGAAACATAGTAATGACATTTTTGAACTGGTACAAGTATTAGTAAATTGGTCAAATGGTCTAATGCGTTAGTATGAACTCTATGTGTTCTTAGATCGAGTCCAATCGAATTCCTTATTATAAAGTTTTCTTTTCTTAGTTTAAATAAATTTTGGTTTAATAACAAAAGTTAAAAAATATTCATAATTTAATATGTGAATTTGACTGTACCTTAAAATATTTGGAACAAAAAATAATATTTGTGTGGATTGTAATAGTACAATTTAAGACACGAACATAACGACTTTAACAACTGTTTGAACTTTTAAATAACTCGTGGTAACTAATGACTTAATATTGTTAAATCTTCCCAAACTAAAATACATTTATTATCAGTGTAATAATAACATCGCTGCCTGTGCTGCGTTCAAACGACCGAGTCATACTTTTTGTTACTCTTAACGAACTATATCAAAATGGTAAGGAAATGTGTGAAGTGTGATAAAATAATCACAGATAAACAATTTCTTAAATGTTTCAACTGTATAAAATTTCACCACTTAAACTGTGCAAACGTAACAGAAAAAATATTTAACTGAATGAAAGAGAAGAAAAGCAACAAATGGAAATGCGTAAAGTGCGCACTCTTGCTAAGAGAATGTACAAGCTCACTATTGACATCAGGGACAGTACCTGTAAACATCATGCACACAATGAATAACTCATCAACGTCAACAGCAAGTTTGGTTAATAATTATCACTTTCGTCCAAACACTGTTACACTTTGCACAGAGTCTGAAAATTATCCACATACACCAAAAACATCACAACAAACTAATGAACAGACATCATCAATATCACCGAAAGTGGGTAAAAATAATACACAAGCACCTCAACATTTTTTTGATTTCATTACCAATCGAAACAAAAATAGAAAAAAACATACTGAGTCTCTGGAGTTGGAGAGCTCTGTCGATGAGGATTGTTCTTGTATAAAGACTAGTAAATTAAAGCGCAGTTGCCCTGAAATAAGCCCCAAAAACAGGGAGGAGTTAGGAAAACTAAGAGCTAAAATCAATTACTTAGAAAAGAAGTTGGAAAGTGCGGAAAAAGAAATAGATAACCTATCAATAGAAAATAGTTTTAAAAAAAAAAAAACAAATCATAGCCTATAAAAAGAAAACTGATACACTGGCTAACTTATGTCGCTCAACTCCAAAGATAAAAAAAAACAAAAAGAAACAGAAAAAGGGAAACAAAAGAATATTAGATTACACACTTTTAAGCCAGGCCGAATGTGGACAAAGTTTTCGACCAACACCAAGAACCAAAGAAAAAACTGTATTGAATAATGTAACACATGAAAACCATCAAAGCACAATTTTAGATAAAGAAGAACAGATGAGCGATTTAAATTCTACACTTAAAAATAAGGATTTTAGACTTTGCGTAATAAGCAGTAACAACAGGAATAAAGTGATACAAGGTACAGAGAATTTGTCTGTCTGTGTGAAAATTTCGATTACTGTCATTTTATAAAACCACACTCAGGAACAATCGAGTTACTGAGTGGACTACATAGCAAATTAATAAACTACACTATGAATGACTACTGTGTTATTTTGATTGGAGAAGAAGACTTCAAAAAATCCTATAACTATACAAATCTTATAAGTAACATAAAAACACGCTAGAAAAAATAAAGCATACCAATGTAATCATAGCATTACCTACGTATATATGTGGTGCACCCTTGTATAACTATAAGGTAGAAATTTTCAATTCTAGTCTACAAAATAGCATACAGAAATTTGAATATGCATACTGTTTTGACTCAAATTATAATTTAACTTTTGACATGTTTCCTCAGACAACTGGTAAACTCAATAATTTAGGAATTAAAATATTTTTGAAAATATATCTAATTAAATATTTTTCAAAGTCACGAAAAATAATAAAAATAAAACTATTACAAGAGAACAAAGAGTATTTAATGAGATGAACAATAAATTATTCAGAGAACACATATTGAAACATGAATGGCAAAATGATGGAATAAATAGTTTCATAAAAAACTGTATGCAATTTTTGATAAGAGTTTTAAGAAAAAGGTAAAAACTAATAAAATAAGAATTAAACAAAGTTAAAGCTGGATTACAAAAGAGATAAAGGTGGCCAGCAATATGAAGCGTTTCCTTGTTCAATCTATTGTTATTATATATTTAAAACTTTTTGTTATTATATATTGTTATTATTATTGTTATTATATATTTAAAATTGTTATTATATATATAAAATTATACAGAAGGGTAATTAGGTGTGCCAAAAGGTTATCAATACAGTCTGATCTGGAGTGTAGTTAACAAACACAAGAAGAAAGTTCCCAATGTAAACGAGAATATATTTATCTTAAAGCATAATAACAAATATATCAAAAGTACTCAAAAGGTTGTAGATATCTTTGCGGAAAACTTTGATCATGGCCTATCACCCTCAAAACGTTCCATAGAATTATCAATGAAGTTTCTTGAGCATAATGTACAATCTTGCAAACATTATATGTGTTGGGATCACATAACACCTGCGGAAATATTTAAAGGTGTAAAAGTATGGAAGACAAGAAGTCATGTCACCATTAGCGAGTTTTTACAATAAATGTTATGAAAGGGGCATTTTCCCTGAGGAATTTAAGATTGCAAAAGTTATTACCTGTACATAAGAAAGGTTCAAAAAATGACTCTAAAAACTACAGACGTATCTCGCCTTTTCCCAACAATTTCAAAAATTTTTGAAAAACTGATTAAACTTAGATTAACTAAACATCTACATAATAATAAAATCATAAATACACGACAATTTGAATATCAGTCAAAAATAGGAAGTAACGATGCGATGGATACATTAATTGATGATGTCATCACAAATTTAAATAATAAAAAGAAAGTAGCGGGATTATTTCTGGATTTAAGCTCTGCTTTTGATATGGTTGATTATAATATATTAATAAAAAAACTTCACTACTACGGAATAAAGCAAAATATGCTACAGCTATTCAAGTCTTATTTAGAAAACAGACAACAATATGTTGAACTGATCGTATCGAGTTGATGTGTATCGAGGATAATATAGAAAATGATTTATACGTAAATCTAAATTAGATAAAATTAATAGAGTAGTGCCACAAGGTTCCATTTTTTGACCAATCTTCTTCACCATATTTATAAATGATTTGATCTCCTTTATGTATAACTCTCTACCGGAAGTTCATATCATGGCCTTTGCGGATGATACAAATGCGGTAATATCGGCACAGAATACAAATGATCTGAACCATAGACTAAATAGAGCTTTTTTAACGTTTTCTGTGTGGTTTAATGCAAATAATCTTATGCTGAATGAAAAAACTAAAGCTATACTATTCAAAACCACAGCGAAAACGCGAAATACCTTGAATATCAGATTACATGAAAACTGTATACCACTTGTACAATCGGTCAAATTCTTAGGTGTTTTTATAGACTCGTATTTAACATGGAGGGATGAAATAATACTAGCTTTTACGGAATTTATCGCGTATATTTAACTTTTTAAATACCTGACGTTTCGAGAGCTTTACAGCACCTATGTTCACAGGAAGGACTGAGATGTACAACGTCCAGATACGTCATAGTTAACTGCGGTTACCATAGATTAAAATTTAACTTTTGTTCCGATCTACACAGTATGAATTTATGGTATCATGAAGTCTTGCAGTTGTATGCTTGGGTCGGGATTTAATTTCATTTATTATAGGATGCCAAGCAGATTGTAGCACCCAGCCATCTTCTCTATTTGAATTAGGATGTTTTTTGATTTCAATAGCCTCGCGAATCATCCTTGGAAGGAATCGGTGTTCTTTAGCGAGGATTTGCGGTCTATCAAACCTGATGTAGTGACGGGGGCGATCCTGTACGTGTTCACAGGCTGCAGACTTCCCGGAGCGTCGATTCTTCACATCAACTATATGTTCTTTAACGCGGGTTTTTATTGATCTTTTAGTTTATCCTACGTAGGAGAGACCACATTCACAATCAAGCTTGTACACTCCTGAATCTTGCAGAGGGACGTTACACTTGACTGATGGTAAAAACTGACCAAACTTCTTCAGCGGCTTGAAGTATGTTTTGATGGAAGCGCGCTTCAAGATGTAGCCAATCTTGTCAGTGACTCCTCTAACATATGGCAGTACAGCAGGTACACGCTCGACTGTGGCCGGCTTCACTCGTTCTCTGAGACGTAGGCGCGGGACCCAAAACTTGTTGTCATGCAAAACTAGCTTGAAGTGTTGGAGCTCGACAGTCAGGTGTTTACTGTCACAGATCCCTCGTGTTCTCTGAAACAAAGATTTACCCACGGTAGCTAACTGTGAAGGATGGTGGTGAATATCACCGTTTAAATATCTATCTGTATGTGTATTTTTCTATACACAGTGTGACTCAAGGTGTTATCAGGATTCCAAATTACTAACACATCTAAAAAATCTAAAGAATTGTTTGCCTCTAACTCCATTGTGAACTGAATTTCAGAATTTATAGAGTTAAGATGGTCTAAAAATGCAGTTACTTTATCTAAAGGTAGAATTGTAAAAGTGTCGTCTACGTACCGCTTGTAGAATCTCGGATTTATGGGAGAAATAAGCAGGGCTTTCTCCTCAAAGTCTTCCATGAATATGTCGGCGACAATGGGAGATACAGGTGAGCCCATCGCCACACCATCTACTTACTTATAGAACTCTTCCTTCTACAATAGGTAGCCAGATGTAAGGCAGTTTCTGAGTAATACTGCATATTCTACGGGCATGTTGTTTTCTTCCAGCCTTCTAGTTACGATTGAGATGCAGTCTTCAACAGGTAAGCATGTAAACAATGACTGCACATCAAAACTGACCATAGTTTTATTGTCTGCCAGACGTAGGTCTTTAATCTCGCTGACAAAATGGTAGGAATCCTTTATGTGTGCTCTTGTGTGTCTCCTGAGTGTTGAGAGCATTTTCGCTAAGTGTTGAGCGAATCTGTAAGTTGGTGAATCGACTTGGCTCACTATGGGGCGTAATGGAGCATTGGGCTTGTGTATTTTTGGTAACTCATACAACTTTGGTGATTTGGCGCACGTAGGTATTATCCATTTTACGTCCAGATTTAATTTTTCGGAGTGTTTATTTATGAGGTTACAAGTTGCTTTTAGTGTGCTATTTGTTGGGTCGTTTTTAACCTTTTTATAAGTACTTACATCCGACAAAAGTTCTTGTATTTTAGAATTATAATCTGACGTATCCGTGACTACCGTGGCGTTTCCCTTTTCTGCGCGGAGAATCGTAAGTTCTGGTTTATTGCGTAGGTTCTTTAACGCTTTAAATTTGTCTTTGGGAAGATTCGGTTTAGGCATTGAACATCGACGTAACATAGAGGAAATGTCTTGACGTATCGCCTCCAAATATTCTTTCCGCATATTGTTTTTAAATAAACAGTCCTCGACCCTACAGATAATTTCTTCGTACGGTAATCTGCGTGGTGTTACAGCATAATTGAGGCCTTTGGATAAAACCTTAATTGTTGCATCATCCAGTGTTTGTTTAGACAGATTATAGAACGCAATTAATCTATGATCTGTGTTTGTCAATGGTTTCTTTTGGTTCTGGCATTGATTCGGATGTTTGACATTTGATTTGGCCGTTAATTTTTGATATTTTTCAATATGTTTGTTTTTGCATTCGTTACATTTACTAATTTCGCGTTTATTCAATGTTTCCATGCAAAAATTATAATCAAACGTCGTTAAAACTTTATTTAATTCACTGGATGATGTGTCTATGGATTTATTTATGTCATATAGATCGGAGCGTTTTTGTTGGATTACCGCCCGTAACAACTTTTTACTCGCCTGATTTAATATCTTAACGCTTCCTCGAATGTCCTTTTTGACACACGTAGGAATGAGATTATGGTCTCGGCATCTCTTCAAGAAATTTAAGGCTGTTAGATATCTGGCAGGCTTAGTCTTTAGATCTTGTAATCGGCGTATTTTATTTGAAATTACCAGTCCGTACTGGTTTACATAATGATTTATTATATTTACGCAAACACTACACATTGAAATAGTACTAGTTTTTACGGAATTTATCGCGTATATTTAACTT